ACAAAAAAAAAAAAAAAAAACTATACAGACAATAAAAATCTTAAAATGTCATTAGCTAAATTATGTCAGAAAGCAGCAGGTCAATGAAAGAATTTCTTCCATTAAGAATATTACAAGTAGAAAATTGGCAATGGCCATTACATTGTTTCACAAAACTTTTGTCAATATATTACACCCTCTGAATTTTGCCATTAATTATAAAATATTCAGATTTTTGAGAAGTAGGAATTTTTAAAAAAGATTTTACTTATTATTTTTAATATATGTGTATGAGTGTATTGCCTGCATGTGAGTACGCATGTGTCATGCAATGCTGTGGAGGTCAGAAGAGGGGCTTCGGATTCCCCTGGAACTGTAGTTAAGGATGGTTTGTAGCCACCATGTGGGTGCTGGGAATCGAACCCCGGTCCTCGGCAAGAGCAGTCAGTGCTCTTAACTGCTGAGCCATTTCTCCAGCTCCAAAAAATAAGAATTTAATATTGTTCATATTTGGACTTTTCCAAAGTAGATGAAGGAATTTCTTTCTGAACTATGCTTAAAATCTGACATCTTGACTTTGAGATTTATACCAAGAAACACTATCATATATAAGAATATGGTGGAGTGATCTATACAAATTTCCTCAGTTATGGCACAAATGTATGCAAGCATCTGTCTTGTTGACAGAAACAATTCAAGTAGCCATGATGATGTATGGGAGACTTACACAGAGAAAAACAAAGGAACAAAGAAATGAAATGAAATCAATAGCTAACTTACCTAACACAGGCACAACACCGAAAAGACTCTACCTGCCCTGTTCACAGTGCTTTACACAGTACTTGTAGGAATATTCTGATTGTCTTTATCGCCCTTTTGAAAGATGATAAAAACAAAGTTCAACGAGATTAGGTGATTTGCCCTACATGAATAAAGAGTTAATAAATAGCCACATCAGACAAATAGCATCACAAGACTTCCAATTCCAATGACCTATACTGATAATACATTTGTTTGAAGTTAGTTCTTCTTATTCCATGGAAGCAAAGCTTCAAGTGTTCTTTGGAGATGATATGTGCTTTAAGTAAATAAAGTTGTCATTTGATTTATACTCTCTTTTACCCCTTGTCTCTGTATTTCTTAATCGTGCAGTTACTCATACATGCAAGAAAGTTCTCTGCTTGTCTCTTTGGTCATTAAGTCTAATAGCATCAGTTGATTAGGCACCGACATTTGTCAGAGATAATGACTAGATGCTTTGATGAATGTATTTGAAACCAAGAACCATATACATTATTACTACATGACATTTCTCAGTCTTTTTTCATGCTGTGATGCAATAAAACCACTTAGTTTTGGATTTCTGATAAATGTGAATGCTCTCATTATAGGGAAAATCTGAAATCAGACTACTTTGAAAATTTTGGTGGTTGAATTAATATTGATAACAAATGATACATAATATCTATACATGTGACTTTCATACAGCAATGTCTTTTGACATAAATGAGAATTATTGCTATATAAGATTTTTTTTCAAATTCAAGAGAGAATATAGGTACGGGAGAAAGTCATATAATTCACAGTATTTGAGAGAGATGACTTATTTTTCCTTTTCCTAAGTCTTTGAAACAGGAAGCAGATGAAAAGTGGAAGGTTGCTAAGGGCAAAGAAAGTGAGAAATGGTG